TGTGTGTGTGTGTGTGTATCGTCTGTTGTGTTTGCGAACGGGCGTGAGTGCGCGGTCTTTACGAGTCTCGCGCTTTTTCATACCCCATTTCCCAACTAGAGAATAATAGCCTTAACTCCAGTTTACTTCTTTTTTTCTCCCCTACTTACGGCCTACTGCCTATTGCCTACCTCATAGCCCCAGGCCCACTATCTACCCGGCCTCCCCATATCAATTGTTAGTCTCCCTATCTCCCTGCCCAAAAACAAATACCACCTCCAACCCTATTCTTTCTCACATCTCTTCCCATGTCGCCGTTTGCCTCTGTCTATCATACCAGTTCCGCCCGATTAGTTGCCCAATTGCCGCCTTGTCTCACTTCCCACTTATACTCCGACAACTTTATCAAAACACACGCAGATCAGCAGACACACACGCATCGATACACCTACATACTTCAAGCACCTTCCTACAGCTGCACAATCAATTGGCCAGTCGGCCAGTCGGACAGCCTGCACGCCAGACCACAGGCCACCCACTCAGCCGTTCAGTATGTTTGTTGCTGCCACATCCAGCACGACATTCATGCTGTCTGTTTGCCCTACACGAGTATCCTCTTACACCGTTTACCGTCAAGTCCCAATCCCACTCCCACTCGCCGACCATCCATCTTTCCCTCCCTCACTCGCCATCCCCTCTACTACACCCTCCCCTCTGTTTATAATGCAGCAAGATACCAGTCTGACAGAAAGCTTGACTTTCTTCTCTCCACCTCAGTCTTCAGTCCTTCTTTTACTTCCCGCCTTCTTGCCTCCGCTTTCTAATATACATCGCTGGCCCTGTACACACATCCCTCTTTGGCCGCTCGCCCAGTCCCTCCCTCTTCCCCACCTCCACCTCCAACTCCACCTACATCCACACCCCCTCACCTCATTCCGAACCCAGTCAACTTTGGGCTAGTCTCTGGGCCTGGGCTGACTTTATGTTTTTAGCAAGAGCCAAGTTGTCTTCTGTGCTGCTCCTAGTCTACATTTTTGCTACCTAGCTCTTTCAGTTTTGCCAACAATTTTACATTGTCATTATTCTCTTTGTCGTCCCTTCTTCAAATTCACTCTATCTATATTTATGCTTGCTTGTGTA